CCCCAAAACCCCAAAACCCCAAAACCCCATATAAAGCAATTTCTAATAAAAAAGTTGATCATCAATAAAATTCATAAAATACAAAATTTAATTTATCACTCTAGCTTTTTCTCTTCATTTTGATCTTACTTCTTCTATATCTCTCTACTTATGCCAGAGGAATATTCACTCAATTTGGATTCATATTTATCTAATTTCTCCTAAACAGTCATTCCATCCTTATCAAATTTAAATTCGCCTTTAGCGTCCATTGTTGTTTCTCTATATCCCTAGACCAGTCCTTGCAAACTTTCATGATACAATTTCAGAAATTAACCTAATTTATCAGCCATATTCTGTATATTCAGTCCATAGTAGATAGCTATTAGCTTCATTCTTACTTTAAATAGTACATTTTAAACTCTTTGCTATCTTTGATATTCAATTTATTCCAAAATCTCATCATGGTAATTGACTCTTTTAAATTTAACTTAGAGTTTATCCTAGTATTTTATTTTACTCTGGGAACGCTTGTATTATTCATTCAAAAGTGCTATTTCCTATTTCTTAAAGTACTAAAGATAAAGATTTTGAATCTAGCCTATGTAGCCAAGCTAGTATTTCTGTATAATTAATTTTCTAGATCTCCTATATTGTAAAGTCTGCTAAATTGCCCATTTATGAGATTTTAAGTCAGTTATTTTAAGTCCATTCATGCATATTCGATAGTATCGAAATGATTTTATCAACTCAGTCATTGATTTTAATTATAATTGATTAAAGTTAATAATAATTAATTAAATATGTTTAGTGGAGGTAATCGCGTTCAAGCTCCTATATTCAACGCATAAGAAAGTTCACTCCGTCTTCGCCCTTATAACAACAACCTTTCAGTTTTTACTCAGAAAATCTGCAATGATCTTGGTCTAGGTGAGTCTGATGTATGCCTCTTTGAAACCAGAACTGCTTTTGATTGCGTTCTCAGACAAAAAGTACAAAAGAATGGAGCTATTACTGACAATTTAGGGCACTGCAGTTCTCACATCGGCCATATGAAGAATAATATTGGACAAGCAGGTCCATCAAGAGCTGACTATGACAATGTTCTTGACAACTATCTTGATGAAGTCAATTACATGAGAAGGAGTTTCGTTTGAGATTAAAGGAGATGAATATAAATATAGCCCTGATAGGAAAATAATCAATAAAAGGGTAGTCATAGTCGATTAATGTTCAAGATTGATGAGCATTTAGAAAGCATATGAGAGTCTACATTGTCATTCTATGTATCTTTGCAACTAAACTCCATAAGTCTCTAGCATTTATCGGCTTTATTTAACAAATTAACAAGTTCATTTCATTTTTGAAATTATCATATAATAATCAATATGTATGAAAATTATCTCCTCATTATGTTTTATCTTCTCATTTTTCATTGTGGGGTTTTGGGGTTTTGGGGTTTTGGGG